GGTGTCTGTTCCAGGACTGTTGTAGCTAACGTTAGCTCTGGTGTCTGTACCAGGACTGTTGTAGCTAACGTTAGCTCTGGTGTCTGTACCAGGACTGTTGTAGCTAACGTTAGCTCTGGTGTCACCGCTCGGACAACTTTTTTTTATCATTTAATTCAAATTCAATTTTTCTTCTGGCTGATGAACAAAAATGAGGAGCATTAGTGCCACCTACAGGCTGCAGCACCTGCACCCGTGTTCCTGGTTAGCCAGAGACTGCGGGGTTGTCTCTGTTTTCTTGTTTTGGTTTCACATTTTGAAAACTAAAAGTTGATCAGAGCGTGTTTATTTTTCCAGCTGTTTTTCTGATTTTTCTGCTGCAGTGAAGAGAATGAAAAACAGCAGAGTCACTGCTGAGACAGGAAATAAAGAACAGTAGACAGAGAAATATTCAGAGGACGTCGAGTGTGTGTGTGTGTGTGTGTGTGTGTTCATCAAAACTTCATCTCTGAGCCACGGCTGTTGATGAATTAACACACACTGTTGGCAGTGGTTATTTTTCTTATAATTTATTAGATTCATGGAGAAAATCAGAGATTTTAGTTCAGACCAAAGTCCATGGAGAAAATCAGAGATTTTAGTTCAGACCAAAGTCCATGGAGAAAATCAGAGATTTTAGTTCAGACCAAAGTCCATGGAGAAAATCAGAGATTTTAGTTCAGACCAAAGTCCATGGAGAAAATCAGAGATTTTAGTTCAGACCAAAGTCCATGGAGAAAATCAGAGATTTTAGTTCAGACCAAAGTCCATGGAGAAAATCAGTGAAAAAATGGTTTTATTCCCATTTGAATTGTTTTTCTTTCATGTTTTTCAGATGTGACTTTGCAGCCAACGACGCTCCTGCTGGACTCCTACAAAAGGAGGGAAAGTGAATAATGGAGTAACATAATTTTTTAACAGAACCGCTGCAGAAATCTCTTTTTTTTTTTTTTGTTGCAATTTTTAAAATTTTTTGTTGGTTTTTTTTTTTTTTTTTGGTTCAACTTTCATTTTTGCACTGCAGGTAACGCACATCGTCTTTAAAGAACAGAAGTTGAAAACATACACAGCAGCATTAGAATCTGATGAATCTTTGAGGTTATTTGGGTGAAGGTTCATTAACAGCACTACCCCCTCCACCCCCCACCCCCCCCCCGCACCTGTTAGCAGTTAATATGATGTTTGAAGCCCACCTCAGACATTTCATGGTCTATCCAGCAGGGGGCGCTCATAGCAGAATTAAAGCTCAAAGATTGATTTGATCGTAAATATTTTGGCTTCGGTTCATTGCTAGCACTTTAGAGTCGAGACTTGGAGTCAAAGACTGTGACGATTTCTTTAGCGACGACGTTGTGCGTGACCTGTTCTGCTCCGAGGAGGTAACGCTGATGTGGACGAGGAGGGGCGAACTGGAGCACCGAGTGTGTGCCTGCAGCAGCAGCATGTGACTAAACCGACCAATCAGGACGGTCCATTTTAAAACTAAATCAAATGCCGAGTGCCAAAGCTGGATCTGCTGCGTCTCACGACACTTTAAAAACCGAGCGTTTTCTTTGTAAATAAGATCCATCTGTTTGTTTGTCTGTTTTTTTCACATATTGCTATGGATTTGTACAAATTTATGGGGAAAAAAATTTTGTTACATTTTTTTAAAAAATGGGAGCAAAACAAAACATCCCCACAAAAAAAAAATCCTCCTCCTTTTTTTCTCTCTTGTTTAAGAAACTGCCGCCAGAAATCCTTGGTTTTTTTCTTCCGTTTTTTTTTTTCTTTTTTTTTTTCCGTCTCTTTTTTTGGTCTGTTTGTTCGGATCCAGAACCACTAAACAAACAAACACGGACTTTTAATGAAACTGGACGAAAACACAAGAAAGTCAAACCACACCACAGTAGGAGAAACACTACAGTTGTGACTTCACTGGCGCTGGACTTCTGGTTCACTACTTCCTGTCTGGAGGAGGGGGGGGGAGGGGCTTCACTTCAATCCAATCAGATCCAAACAACACAAATAAGCACCTTTAAACCTTTTTTAAAACTGTTCTGAAGTGAAGTGCTATTACCATTGTTATTACTGTTGTTATTATTATTATTGTAGCCACTGTCGAAACCCTTTTTGAAGAAAAATCGAACTAGAAAATATTGAGAAAAAAAACCACATGAAAGGGAGAGTTGAGGTGAAAGTCATTACAGTGTGATTGTATGTGGTACTGACGCTGTACTACGCTAGTACACCCCCTCTGCCGCCGCCAGGTGGGTACGATAAGGTACTGCCACTCCAATACCAAAGTCCATTTAGAGAATGTGTGGACTCACAGTCCACTCCAATACCAAAGTCCATTTAGAGGAGATCAGAGGAGCTGCTGGTCCACTGCTGCCTCCTGTGGTCACTATTGTCTCTGTGAAGTAAAATCACTGATTTTCTCTATGGACTTCTTTATGGCAGAACGCTAACGCTGAGGTTATTATAGATATTCTTGGGTCAATCAGACTTTTTATTTGGTAGTTCTGCCAGCAGGGGGAGGTCATGGGTCACCCCCTCATGTAAACACACTAGAAGAACACACCTGAACTGTCCCTTTAACTTAAAGCTACACTTCCTGTTTGTCCGACAGTTCGTCACGGATATTTTTTTTTGTTTTCAAACAGATAACGGAACAAAAACAAACAACTACAAGACACAAACAACAGTTTTCAAACAAACGACAACAGAAACAAACACAGAAGGTTTTAACGCTAACGACTTTCATCAATTAAAACTAGCCGTCAGTTTAAAAAAAACACGTAAACCGCTCTCATGTCGCCTGGATATTCTCTATATTTCTGTCTTTCTGCTTCTCGCTCTATCACTTCCTGTCCTCCGTGTCTGTTAAGTTAGGCTCCGCCCACCATCGTACGTACCTGTTATAAACAAGAAAAGGAAATAAGTACTAATTTTTAACACTTCCACGTAGCTTTGCTAGTTTTAGTTTCAGTCGAGTTCTAACAAGAAAAAGAAATGGCTAAAATACACGCTACTTCCTGTCTGCGTTTTACCGACACTGTCGTGTTTCCTGCTCCAACTGAAACACAATGTTAAAAGAAAACATTTATCTTTACCCGTGCACGAGCGCACAGGGCTAACCTCAGCCGCAAACAGAGTCACTACGTCTGTGCGCGGTTTTAGCTGTAGCCCGAACGTTCGTACATTAGTCGCTTATTTTTTAGGTTCAACACTTTTTGCTGCTGCTTGTCTTTCTGCTTCATAAACAGAAAAAAAAAATACAGAAATTAGCGCCACTCAGAGGCGCCCTCTACTGGACCTTCAGCCTTACTATACTTCACACAGGCTTATTTTTGCAAAGTTTTAAGTCACTATTTTTCTGCTGAATCGTTGAATGTATTTACTTTTGGAAAAGTTTTGCTGGAAATTTGAATGTTTGAAAAGGACAAAGTTTAAAGACCAAGAAAAAAAAACAGCCACATTTCTGTGACCTTTGACCTGAAAGAGACACGGAACAAAAGACTACGTTTAACCTGTGTCTTAGCAGCGGCTAAAGAAACGTCAACCTTTAGACGACTTTAACAACAGGAAACAGAGGTTTGTACGTCACTCGCACAGACACGGGAGCTGCTGGTCCACTGCTGCCTCCTGTGGTCAGTTTGTGTCACTGACGTAAATCTAAATAAACCTCAGTGACACAACAACACATTTGATCTCAGTGATGGAGCGAAAACGGCCGGTTTCCTCCATGAGGTTTGGAGTGGACCGACTTCCTGTTTGTTCAACACTGAGGTGTTTCTCACACATTGGAGCTGACCTGATCCTGACCTCTGACCTCTGACCCCTGGTCCAGGAGTTCGTGGCTGAAAATGTTTCCTTGGTCTTTTTACCCCAGTGTCCTTTTTTTCACTGTGTTTTCTCTTGTTTAGACCTTGACAGAGTCAGAGTGCACATGGTCCACAGACCAACACCATCGTCAACAACACCGTCATCCACACCGTCGACAACAACCCCATCGACAACAACACCGTCAACACCATTGTCATCAACACCGTCAACACCATCGTCAACAACACCGTCATCCACACCGTCGACAACAACCCCATCGACAACAACACCGTCAACACCATTGTCATCAACACCGTCAACACCATCGTCAACAACACCGTCACCAACACCATCGACAACAACCCCGTCAACAACACCATCGTCAACAACACCGTCACCAACACCATCGACAACAACACCGTCATCAACACCATCGACAACAACAACATCTTCAACACCATCGTCAACAACACCGTCATCCACACCGTCGACAACAACCCCATCGACAACAACACCGTCAACAACCCCATCGACAACACCATTGTCAACAACACCGTCAATACCATCGTCAACAACACCATCGTCAACAACACCGTCATCCACACCGTCGACAACAACCCCATCGACAACAACAACATCTTCAACACCATCGTCAACAACACCGTCATCAACACCATCGACAACAACACCGTCAACAACCCCATCGACAACACCATCGTCAACAACACCGTCACCAACACCATCGACAACAACACCGTCAACAACCCCATCGACAACACCATCGACAACAACACCGTCAACAACCCCATCGACAACACCATCGACAACAACACCGTCGACAACAACACCATCGACAACAACAACAACACCATCAACAACATCATTAACACCATCACAGTTCACACCATCACAGTTCACACCGTCATCAACACGGTCAATTTAAATGTTAGTTAAATTGGTCAGAGAACAAAGTGCCCCCCGGTGGTCCTGGAGAGCAGGTGCACTCTGTTGAGGTCGGCTCTGCTCCATCACCGACTCCACCACCGCCGCCGCCGCTGCTTCTTCTTCTTCTTCTTCTTCTCCTGTTCATCATCGTCATCATCATCGTGGTGCTCGACCTGGACACAGAGACAGAACTGGAGTCCAGGTCAGACCCCGGTACCTGGTTCAGACCCAGACCCTGGTCCGGACCAGGTTCTTCTTCTGTTTCTGTGTCTGGGTTCCACAAAACAACCTGTTGATGTTCTGCTGTAAACAAACAATAAACAACAATAAAGAACCGCCTGTTTCAACAAGAACCACTGACTCCGTGTCACTGGACTGGACTGGACTGGCCCCGCCCTCCTGGTCCGGCCCCGCCCCTTGTCTGACTCCGCCCTCCTGCACCGGTGGAAAACACTGAGGTTGTTTCTGTTGAAGAACAAATGTTTAAAACATCAAATATTTGTTTCAATGACATAAAAATTAAGTCGCTAAAAAAACGAGTTTGACGCAAATGGATTATAATCGTAACAAATTAGCTAAAAGATAGTTAGCCGTGGAGAACGTCAGATGAACGACTCTGATAAACAGCGTTGAAAATTAAAGCTAAATTCTTCGTCTCTGTTACGATCGTTTTGGCTAACGTTCTTCTAACGTTGGAGACGGTAGACGATAAACCAGGAGACGTTTGTTTCTACGCTGATGACGCAGGTTCAAATAAGACAGACCACCCGGGAGCGCTGTTCTCTCTCGCCGCTCGTTCTCCGCACGGCTGTAATATCTGCTGAGCGTCCTCCGAGGAGACGCGTTTAAGACAAGCCCCGCCTCCAGAACAGAACGAGGACGAAGGGAGCTGTAAAAAAAATTAAGATTCAAATTAAAAATGAATCAAGAAGTGTGTGTGTGTGTGTGTGTGTGTTCAGTTGAACCCTGAGGTTCTGGATCTTACCTCAGATGTTTGGACCTGCTCCACTGCTCCACCGTGTGGCTGTGACACTGAAGTCAAAATGAAAACAAATCCAATGTGAATCACACAGGGGGCGCTGGTGAGTTCATTTAGTTGGACTTGATGCTGTGTTCAAGGCCCCGATGGAGCAGAGAAACTTCCTGACAGGAATAACGCCTGGTCTCCGTCTCTGCACTGAAACTCCAGGGATTTGAACCGGCAACTTAACACTGTTGTGTCTTTGAAAATGATCGACAGCGCCCCCTGTGGAGCGACAGCTGCACGTTTAAATCCTGCATCCAAATATTTGTCCTTCAACAGCAGAAAACCGAACCTTAACCACTGGTACTGATACCGCTGCAGGCGCCCCCTTGTGGCACTTGGTGAAACCTTTCACTGTGAGTCAAAAAAGTCAAAAACATTTTTGAAAATTCTGAAAAATAAAGAAGTCAAATGCAGCGAGTAAATCCCCGAGAAAGATCGACTTTTATTAAATACAGTAATCTGACCACTGGAGGCAGCAGCGGGCCAGCAGGTCCTGTGATTTTCTGGATGCTTTTTAAACTTTACACCCACGAACGCTGGAGTTTCCAGAGTGTCAGTGACAGCACCGTGGGAGACGAGTGTGAACTGCGTCTGTGTCGCCTCCAAAATGTGTGTGTGAGAAATCAAACCATTCACAGGAGAACACGCGTGCATGCGTGCGTGCGTGTGTGCGCGGGAACAAACACACACTCGACAGCTTTGGTCTCATTTCTCGTGTGAGTGTGATTTTCACGCTGAACTTTTCCACTTGTTCTTTGAGGAGACGAATTAAAAAAACACAGAAGTGAAAAATAAAACACA